CTTGGAGCCAGTTCTTCCCTCAGTCCTGCACTAAGTGCAATTGGGCCAGACTCAGGAATCTGGCCCAATCCTTCTGCTTCTCTGTAAAGTGCCCAGCACAGTTTGGGTGCTAAATATATCAGTACTGATAATAAATATTAGTATGGTGCCATGTGGCTGTCTCTCTCTCACTCACGCACTCACGCCACACCCATAGCTAAGCAGAGTTTTAACAGGAGAAGAGCTGGAGACTCCATGCCATCCATTAAGGACTTTGCTATTGATTTTATATGTAGATGGGAAGCAGCATAAAACATAAATGACAAATCTATTTTTCTTTCCATTTTTTCACAGACCCTCCCCTCTTTATAACTTGGTAGAGTTACAAATGCCCCTAGCAAAAGGCCAGGCTCCTGCATTAAACACTCACAAGCAAAAAGGAAAAGGGCACCAGCAAACAAGAACTCTGATGCAATATAAATTAATCATCCCACTAAATCTTTTCTTTAATAAATTTATGTAGTTAATTCTTAACGGCTGAGAGAATTTTCATAATTCAAGCCGCTATATTTACCATTTACCTAATTAAATTTTGAATAACCAGTCTGTTCTTCTCTGAGATTCTGAATAGGTTGGTGGGCGACTTCGAAAATTATATTTTTTAAAAATGTGAACTTAACAGGTCCTGATACTGTGAGGGTCTCAGCATCTTCTGCCAGTGTAAAGCACCTTCACTGCTCACTGCTGTCAATGAGAGTTGAGGGCACTCAGCACTTTGCAGCATTGAACCCTATAATCTCTATTACATCCTTCCTACAGCCTATTAGAGTGTGGGAACAGTTCATCAGTGGAGGTTTCAATGATAAATACTTGTACATTTGGCAAATATACATGTATATAGTGATTAAAGACCCTTTTCCACCCCACAATTGCATTTTTATCCCTTACACATTCATTTCTAATTTTAGAATTATTGATTTAATACATTCAAGAGCTTTACGTGGGAAAGGAGAGGGGAATGCTCAATGGTTTCCACCATGTATCATTAATCATCCCCCACAGAACCTACTAACATTTCAGGCTCTAATGAAGCAAGTACGAGGGCAGAGAAAAAGCTAAAATCTGATTTGGCCAGGGGATTTTTGTATGTTTAATCTGCTTGTTTGTATTCAAAAGGCCAAGATTCTTCTATAAATAAAAGGGAACCTGTAATTTTACTGTCTTCAACTAGTGCTGCAAATTGGTATGTTCTGAACATACATATGAGTCATTCTTCCTAGAGAGCCGGGAATTGGACTGTCCTGAGTGCCCTTCTCCCCCACTGACGTCAGGGAAGTTGAGGGCACCTTACACCTCATGGGATCAGACTCTGAATGCTCATTAATCCAACTGATATCTTAAATGGAATGAGCTTGGCAGTTTAAGGTCAGTCCCCAGTGGTCTGTGGTAACATTATCAGAAGAGCCATTTGTCTCAGGAGTGAACAAACATTGAAACCTATCGACCTTTCCCTTTCCAGAGTTCTTGCCAGCACTGGTAGCCTGGAAAAAAAGATTCTCATGTATAAGGGTTCTGCTAAAGTTATTCATTGTCAGCACATTGTGTGATATTGTGATAGGGCTGAGTGCCTGGTATGTAGCATTAACAGAAGAGGCAACAGCTCTAACCTGTTGAGCCTCAGGAAAAGCAAAAACATGTATTTAAGGTTTCTGAATCAGACAATTAAACCATCAAAGGCCTTTGGTAACTTTGAACCTGCTGACACTTGGCCTTACTGGCATGGCAGTGCACGCAGTATTACCCGGGACATGATGCTATACAATTTTGCTTCTTTAATTCCTTAATTCTGTCCTCCTGAACTATTTCTGACTTCAACGTATGCCAAGTTCAGAAAGAGTTCAGACTCATCACTTGCATGGCAGGATTGAAACCGTAGGGTTCCATTTCATGGAGCTGGTGCACTGGCACTGCAGGAGTAAGAAGAGATACTTAAAATTTGTGCCAGCCTGACATGTACACTCAGTGCTTCTCAAACCTGTAAGCTTTCCTCATCACAACAGAGAATTCTAACTCAATTGCAACCTAGGGCAGCAAAAGGAAAAACATGGCATATTAAAAGGATGCTGTCAAAGTTGATAGGTCCAAAAGGTCACCTGCCTTTTTCCCCTTTCAGTACATTTGTTTGAAAAATCCACTTAACACTTATACTGTGGTGGTGTTTTATTTCCTGAAATAAACAAGTCGGTTCTCTTCTATAAGCGTATCAATGCCAGGAACTACAATAGCCCAGTGTGCGTGCATGAAAAAGAAAGAAAAAATTCTAGGAAGGGAACAACTTTCCATTTCAGGCTTCCAAAAGGTTATTAAAAACAACTGTGAGAAAGAAGCAGGATTTTAAAAATTGTGAAAAATACCTTGACAGGTTTCTTTTCAAGTTTAAGTTACAGATCCAGTGCTCAACACAAGGCAACATGCCACTTTCCTACAAAGTTAAATTATTTTAGCTCTTGATTTATTTACACTTGGTAATGAAACAATATATCAAATAGTGTATGTGATCTAGTACAGTGCTTCTCAAACTTTTTTTTTCACGGACCACTTGAAAATTGCTGAGGTCTTGGCGGACTACTTAATGATGTTTCCAACTGTTGTTTGTATTGTTACTAACTATTCTAAAGCGCTTTGGATAAAAGTGCTATATAAAAAAATAATAATTAATGGTTTTTTTGTTCTACAAATAAAAGCATATTTTAATATCAGTAGTCTTACCTTTCTAATGTGATGGATGTGCCCTCTCCCCCGCACCATAGCAGCCACCAAGCTTGGGCTGGAAAGGAGGGAGGATCTCTCCCGCTCTCCCCCGCCGCGGCAGCCCCTGAGCTGGGGCTGGGAAGGAGGGGGTTCTCTCCACGGCAGCCACAGCCCTGGAGCTGGAGAAAGTTGCCTCTTTCTCTGGCCGCCGCAGCCCTGCATGTTCCAAATTCCCCCCACTCCCACTTCTCACCCCTCTGCCCCCTCCCACCTACCCCATATTCCCCCCAAGACCACCACCTCACCTTACATGTGCATCTTCTCCAGAGTCCAGGCACCTAATTAGTGGAACCATGCCTGCCTAGCTCCACTAATTAGGTGGGTGGCCCTTCATTCTCTCATGTGCAGCCACCCAGGCACGCACCTTAGAGGGAACTATCCATGGACCACCTGAATGGAGCTTGTGGACCACTGGTGGTTTGCGGACCACAGTTTGAGAACCTCTGATCTAATATATTAAAATGCATTGTATCCAAATGGGGAAAAACCTCCATTCATGGTAAGGGAAATGCTTGCTACGTTATGGAAGATGGAACCACTATCAGCAACTACCGTGTTTTGTTGATGCTTTAATAAAATAAAGTGAGTATTGTGGAGGTAGCATTTCATTCAATATCTGCCAGAGTATAGGAATGCAAAGAACTTTATTTGACCGAAATGGGGTTGACTGATTCATTAGCCTTTATTGCACTGAACTGGAAGTCCAGAGATCCAAATTCTATACCTAACTCTACTACTGACCTGCTGCGTGACCTTGGACAAGTCTCTTCAATTCTCTTTACCTCTGTTTTCCCCTATGTTAAAAAATGGGGGTGATAATTACCGTCTTGTGCAAAGCACTTTTGAACAAAATCCTGGCCCCATTGAAATTAATGACAAAGCTGCCAAAGACTTTATTGGAGTCAGGATTTCACCCTTTGAGACCTATGGATGAAAAGTTTAATTATTATTACTTAAAGACAAGTCAGTGGTTCATTCTTTAAAGGTGTGTGTGTGTTTGTTTGTTTTCAAGTGAATTTATTGCTTGCTTAAAACACTAGATTAGGAAGAGAAGAACTATCATATCGGAACAGACTAATTATATAATTTAATCTGCTAACTAGATACTGTCCACGGTCTATAACCAATGCTTCAAATGAAGGTGAACAATCCCTGTCATCAACGTAGACAACTTTACAAAGAATATTGTACCACAGGGGGAAAATATTCTTGGCCCTCGCAAGTAAATTTATGATGTGAAGCATGAGAATTAATAGCCCTTGTAATTTTATTCTAGTTAGTTAAACTGCTGTTCCTTTCTTATTTTTATACTTAGCTACCTCACAGGGTTGTGAGGGCTTAATTGTTGTTTATAAAACATGTGGAAAGCTTTATATAAAAGGGTGCATATAAGTGCAAATCATTTATTTAAAAAATGTCTAATCTTTCTTTGAATCTTATTGAGCCATTTGCTTAAAATATATCCTGTGGCACCAAATGTTACAGATTAATAATACAGTGAATTAAAATATGGTTTTCATTTATTGTTTACAAATGTGTTGTCTCTCAATTTAGTCAGTTGCTCCTTTTGCTTTTCCCAAGTACAGAGAAGTGCATGATTGACTCTATACAAATCGTTATTATTATTAATATCCACAATATTGATTCCTTCCCCCTAAAACCTAAGGAAACCCCTCCACGGGTGCTCCACAGGCGTTTAGATGTGCGCCTGAAGAGTGGGTAGGCCTTGTGGAGATGCTGATTCTTTGTACTGTTATGTCCCCAAGTCGCCCTAAAAGAGAACAGATGCAAGTTACTGCTAACTGAATCATCAAGGAACTCAACCACATGTATCTTTAAGCATGTGAATAGTCCCCTTGACTTCAATAGGCCTACGCATATGCCTAAAGTTACACACATGCAGCATTGGTAGCTAATTAAGGGAGGTTCCACACTGTGAAAGAGAGAAACATTGAAGAGTAAAGGGACTCTAGGGCCAAGGGAGCTGGGCTGTGGTGAACCTAGGACAGTATCCAGCACCTCCCAGGAGAATGACTTGGTTCTTAGGGAAACTATAGTATTTGGGAATGAACTCACAAGGCAGTCCACATAGTGCAAACCCTGCTAACCTAAGGAAAATAGCTGATGGAGGCTCTGACTTTCTTGTAGCTTTTGTCCCCTAAATGGATCAGGCTGGTCCCAAGTGATCACAAAGGATTTTAAAATACTAGTTCTTTAAACACATTCCTTTATTATTAAAAAAAGAAGTACATAGAGCTTCCTGAGTACTTTTGTCTTCCTGTAGGAAATCCCAGATTTTTGCCCCTTCTTTCTTTTTCTGAGTTGTCCTCTTGAATCTGTCAATATAATTTTTTGATTAGCATGAATTCACCCCTCCTTTTGGCTACATCCTCTTGGCATATACAGTAATTGAGACTCAGTGACCTTTCACACTACATCTACTGATCCTCTCAAAGAATCTACTGTATTATGTGGGTCAATGGAACAGCAGAAGTCTGAGTCAATGCGAGTCAGCATGTCTGATACAGTATAAACACTGCATAAACTCCTCATGTAGCCAGCTTTATTTTGTATTAGTCAGAAAAGGTCAAGGTGAAATTGGAGTATGAATAAAATTGGTCAGTATTTGGAATCAGTCCCACTTGAGCTTGATTTCCTGTTTCTCAGGAGGAAAAAAACTCCCTTTTATTGTCTGGATAACAAGTTTTTTGAATGTTGACATACATGTAACACACAAGTCTGACATACAGTAATTCTTTGAGTGTCTTGAGTAAAATTATCAATATGAGGAGACTCTTAACTGCACATGGTTGGCAATTGCTATAAATTCACCTTATAAATCTTAAGGCCAAAGCTTGTAGTCTTTGCATCTCTGTTTATATTGCAGTCTGTTTATTCTGTGACTTTCAAGCACAGGTATAACGGCTTCCTAGAAGAGCTGCTACCCAGCTGAAATTCAATTTGCAATCATATGTTTCTTCTCAGTAAATACCCACATGGGATTTAGGGCCAAGGTTTTCAGAACTGGCTGCTTCCAGTTACATGCATATTTAGGGATCTAAATATACAGACTTATTTTCAAAAGCTGAAGGTGCATATAGGAGTTGCAGGGTGCTTAGCACCTTTGCAAACCAAGCTTTTAATGCAACTGTAGTTGCATCTACATTCATCTGCTACAGAAAAAAACTATCACCCTTTGGAGGGGGTAGTTACATGCACTGTTGATTAAACTACTGGAAAGTAACTGATTTAGCATACATAAATAAATAAAAATATAAATAAAAGACCATTTCTTTACTTGCTATGTAAACTACCCCTTATTTTAATGGGAATTTGTCAAATTTAGAAATGTGATCTTTCTTTCTCTAGCTCAGGAACATCTTACCATCTTAGAGCAAATCCCCAGGGAGGGACCTGGAAATACCAGCAGGTTCCCTTTGGAGAAGCAGAAGGGCAAAACCTCCATGCCCCAAGGATTCCAGGGTCCTGCAGGGAAAAGCAGCTGCATTAGTGTGCCAGTCTCTAGCAGGAGGCTCACAATGACTCGCCGGTCACCCACACACAAACTTCCCTGCAGATGCAGAATGAGAGTAAGGGTCAATTTAAGTAGCATTAGCTGGCACCTGGATATACATTGGGCTCAGATAAAATCAAATTGGCATGGCTACTCTCCCAGCCCTGCCCCATTCTACCCCCAGCACACTCCATCACACATTATAAAGCTCCATTTTTGCATGCATGGAGTGCAGGGACTTCTGAATAGGGTGACCAGATGTCCCATTTTTAAAGGGACAGTCCCATATTTAAGTCCTCCTGCAGGTGCCCTGACTTTTTCTTTAAAATGGGCAAATTGTCCCATATTTTCTGTCTCCCCCCCAATCAGGTCCTGCTGGTCCTGCTGCTGGCTGGGTCCCTGCTCACCAGCCACCCACCCACTTCTGGTGAGTTGGAGGTGGGGGGTCCAGTGGCTGATAGGGGTGGGTGTGCAAGGCTGGTGGTGGGGCGAAGATGTAGTGCACGCGGCCAGTCACTCCCCCTGCCGGTCCATCAGCACAGCCCCCGCAGCATGCCAGCTTTCGGCCAGCAAGGCCCCACCCCCGTCCCATTTCTTGCTGGCACTGGGTGTGTGCTGTGAGCTGTGGTGGCTGGTGAGTGTGGGCAAGTGCCAGGTGGCAGCCAGTTACGTGTCGCCTCTACTGCCCACCCATCAGCCCTTTACATGGTCCCCACTCTTACTGTCCTCTCCGTGCTTTGCCCCTTCACCCTCCCCAGCTCCTCCATATCCCCCCAGGCGGGCACGTCTCACTCCAGGCGCTGTGTGGAGAACCAGCCCCTGGTCGGAGCGCTCAGCTCACCAACAGCCTGGCCAGCAGGCTCCTTCCTTCCCCCACTGCCTCTGGCTGGGCTGGTGTCCCAGGAAAGCCCAAGACCCTCTGGCCTGGGACACTGTCCAGGAGGAGCCAAGCCCTGCATGTGCCAAAGCCCCCACAGCGCTGGCATGGGGAAACCTCTCCACCCTTCAGCTAAGCTCTGGAGTGGCAGGGGTGGGAGCAGGGGAAGTGATTTCCAGCCTGTTCATACCCTGAACGTACAGGCTCCACAGCAGAAACATGGGCTTAGCACCTTCTTCATCCCCTTTGCCCTGGGTCCTGCCTTCAGGGAGCGCGGGGATGCTCCATCTCCTATGCACCCTCCTCTACTGAGCCACCTCTCTGGCTGGGTTTGCTGAAGCCCCTGCAGTCAGGTTCCCTGGGCTCTGGTCCACAATGCATCCTTAGGGCTTAACCCCTTCCTGTCCATGCTGTAGCCAGGGCACAGGAGGCAGCAGGGTTAGAGAGAGAAGAGCTCGGCAAAGACAAGGGCCAGGTCATCCCTTTCCCCCTTCTTCTCCCCTGCAGCTGGAAGCAACTCCTGTCCCTTCCCTCCTGCACAGTGCCGAAAGGCTGCTGCTGGCCACATGCTGGTGTGAGCCCTGGCAGAAATTGGGGGGGGGGAGGCATGTGACCCTGCATGCCCCCTGCCCATGTGTTGCCTCAGGAAGACGTGGCAGGTACCAGGAAGGCGGGTGCATTCTGGGGGCCCAGCCAGGCATGGTGGGCAGAGAGCAGGGAGTCACCCCCCATATGAGAGAGGTGTATGGGTGTGTGTGTCCTCTCCCTGTGTGTGGGTGGGGAGGAGGGAGGGGTGTGTGTGTCACTCCTCCCCATGTGATATGTAAGAAGGTAAATAAAAAGAATCCAGCTACACACTATTTCTTTTTAACAGGCGCTCAGTCAACTTGCTGTTAATTTGAACATTTGTACAACTGATTGCCATTGAACTCACTTGAATATGAGTAATTTTACCAGGTGTCCTGTATTCAGTATAGGGAAATATGGTCACCCTACTTCTGAAGGATTATGGAGACAGGAAAAAGAACAGGAGTACTTGTGGCACCTTAGAGACTAACAAATTTATTAGAGCATAAGCTTTCGTGGACTACAGCCCACTTC